GATATGATTTATGACACAGACTGAGGGGAGGGGAGACACAGGGGTAAAGTCCAAAGACCATTAGCCGGATATCAGTTTCAGCTCTGCAGAAGAACATGCCAAAATGTTGATCCTAATAAATGACTGGATTTCTTTTGAACTTTGTCTCGAGGCTTGTAAATTAATTAGGTCATCTTTTAGAAACTTCACATGGACATAATATACTTTAGACTTCAGTAAAGCATTTGACAAAGTAGATGACAAATTACTTCTTGGTAAGCTGGAAAAAAGTGGGATAAAAAGTATCACCACCAGTGTCAGGCCTGCAGCGGTTCCTTTAAGAATCTTTGGCCTGCCACGCACACTCTCTCTCTTCATCTTTACTATGCTGTTTCATTAGAGGGGAATAGAACTGTAGAATGTGTTGTTGTAAAAATAAAGGTCATTCTTTGTCTCCTCACCTCTGCACCTGACCGGAACCAGATAGGTGGACATGCCAGTGTGGCAGAGGAAGATTGGACCATGTGATGGATTTGTGGGTGTGGGTGTGGGGACAAGACCATGAACTTTCAACTGGATGGGAAACTCAGGAGGTTTTCAGATTCGGGCTTGCCACAGACATGCCTCTATTAATAAATTGGAACTTTGAGGAGAGATTTGCCTTGAACTCTGATTTAAGTTTGGATGATATTTGGAATGCTGACATTAACCCGAATCTCCCTTAAAATTACTTCATCAGCAATCCCAAGTTGGGAAGCCGTTAGGGGTACTGAATCCCAGTTCTGACCCAACCCTGGGCAGTACAAAATTTCAGTGAAGATGGAGGAAGAAAAGAACACAGCAGAGAAGGGCAAAGATGACAGATTGCCTGTATTTGTCAAGGCCATCTATGCACCTTCTAAAGAGGTAGCCGAGGCTGCAGAAGCTAAAGAAAGGGAGTTGCAGCTGAGGGCCCGGCAAAAGGAACCAACCCCTAAACCTCCCTCACAGGCGGAATTAGACCTGCGTGATGAAGCCTCAGGATTTATGACCTCTAAGGAATGCCTGCTAGAAAGAGAGAGGGGCACCATGAGAACTCCAACAGATGACTGGAGGATGGCCAGAAGATCTGATGAATGGAGATCCCAGTCACCCTCACGCAGTCATTCTCTGATGGGCTTCCCAGACCAATTCAGACAGCTAAACGTGAGTGGAATCAAACCCCTCCTTTCCTCAGGACCACCTAAGTGGAACCTGGCCCAGCCCACATTCTCCTTCCCTAGCAATGGAGTGGAAATCTTCGCTCCTTCCACACAGCGGCCAGCAAATCAAACCAACCCCTTGCTGCTGGAGTAAAGCCAACTTCAGTCACATCAGCACCCCTCCTTCCTGGAGTGTAGGCAGGCCCTACACAGAATTAGGGAATTCAATCCAGCCAAATACAAAGGGGCCTGGGATGCATTCCCCTCTCCCCAGCTGCCAATGGGTGGCTCGCACCCCGTGAATCAAGCACCCCCATGGTGGGCTTTCTTCCCAGGACATGGATGGGCTCAATACCAATGGACGCCTGCCCCTTATCAGCAGATGGCTCCATTCCAGATAACTGCCCCTGGGCAGAACCAGGGACTGGGACTGCCACCGGGTCCAGTCCCCCCAGCAATGTCGCAACAGGCTTTCACCCAACTGATTGGTGTGGCTCAACAAGGGAGCTTATCACCCCAAGCAGCCGGCTAACGGGCTACCCCAGTTCAACCACCAGTGCCCCCCTCCCACACCACCATGGTTTTGAGCAACATTTGACGGGTCCCCAGATAAGCTGGCTTACTTCCTGAATCAAGTATGAGCAGACATTGATCAAGTAGACCCACAATACCCGTCTGATAGAGAATTGATCCAAGAAATAGCCGAGGGGATGAATGAAGGGGAGGCTGCACATTAAGCATATAAATCCAATAAACAACAACAACAACAACAACAACAACAACATTGGATAGCAGAGCTCCATGAGGAGGAGGCTCCTGAGCAAGATGATGTAACTGGGTTCATCCAACTGATGTATGCCCAATTTAGCAACGTGGCCCAACACGTGGATGCAGAAGAGCAGATCCAGGGATTGTGACAGTCTGGCCATCCTGTGAAGAAGTTAGCTTGGGAGTTCCAGAGAATAGCTTTACTAGAATGTTTCACATTCAAACAAAGCATATGTTGAAGCATATTTGCCTACCTCCATCTAGTTCTTCTGCACCAAAATGGTTCCTGTAGAATAGCATAATTTCTATCTTGTAGCACTTGTAAATAGTCACTAAACAAACAAGTAGCAGCAGAATAGCACCGAGTCCTCCAGCAAGTTCAACTGTATACATCAGCTCTGAAAAGAAGAGTAAAGATTAATAACAACCACATTCTGATATAAAAGTAGTAATTTATTATCATAACTTGGGGCAAGAAGTAATTTTCTGTTTTTCTGAATGCAAAAACAAAGTGTTTTTTTTTTAATTTCTTGGTATATACATACATACACAGAGAGAAAGAGTAGGCATTAATATTTTTGTGGTGTGTAACTGGTGCATGACATACAATGTTCACATAGGATGAAGCTAAGTATCAGCCCTTTTCTCAACACAAAATTATCATTCCTTTTTTATCAGCTACATTTGTTTTAATATATCCCCCTTCTTTGGTGCGATGCAATTCACAATCTCTCCTCTATGTTGAAAATCATCTGTTTGTGATTTTTGACATTCTGACATTAAGAAGTAAAACATCATCATTTCTTGTGTAGCATTGTACCATGGGATATTGTACAATTGATTGAAACAACTGCCAGTTTAGCTTCCAAAGAAGTGGTTTGGGCAAATGTGGTTATATCTGTCTGTCAACAATAATCATTTCGTAATATCATTTATGAAATTATGTCTATCATGCCCAAGCATAACTTTATATACTGTTGTTGCTCTCTAGCCCCATCTAGTGGCCGGAGAGACAAATACCCAGTATATTGTTTGAAGCTGACCCCCCCATTACCCATGAACCCACACTCTCAAAACAAATACACATTGGGAAGCCAGACTCCATTTTCCTTTAGCATTTGGAGAAGGCCGAAACACAAAGAAGAATCCATCTTAATCTGTGGCACATGGTCATCCAAGGACAAATCCATAACACACACACAGAGAACATGTGATGAAGAGATTTAAATTGTTTGTATTTATTAATTATTATGTTCAACAGTAACTTAATACTGTCTCTCTTGTATTTGGTTCTCATTGTATGTATCCCTATTTTCCCCGGTTTCACCATTTCCTGTTCTTTCAATAAACCATTCAGATATACGCACACAATCTGTTTATTTGTATTGTATTTGTAAGTTTGTTAAACATGTACAAGATAGCAGGTATAAATATAAACATGGACATGAATGAAAGAAATGAATACAAATACTGTATAGGACAGTAGGACAGGGCTGGTAGGCACACTGGAGCGCTTATGCATGCCCCCTTTATGGACCTCTTAGGAATGGGGTGAGGTCCATGGTAGACAGTTTAAGGTTGAAGCTGTGAGGGTTAGAGGATATAACAACAGAGTCAGGTAGAGCATTCCAGGCATTGACCATTCTGTTGCTGAAGTTGTATTTTCTGCAATCGAGTTTGGAATGGTTTACTTTGCTGTTGTATCAATTGTTTGCCCATGTATTATTGAGGTTGAAATTGAAGAAGTCATTGACAGGTAAACATTGTAACAGACAATTCTGTATACTGTGCTTAGATCATACCGCAGGTGGTGCAGTTCGATTGTCCAAGCCCAAAAGTTCAAGCCTGGTGACATAGGGAATTCTATTGTGAGTAGAGGAGTGGAGTACTCTTCTCGTGAAGTACCTCTGGACCCACTCAATCGTATTGTGAGAAGAGAGGGGTGAGCTTGCAGGCCTCACTGAACCAAAGTTTTAAACTTACATAATTGCAAAATGCATCAGACATATTTCTAATGTGCTGACTTGTGTCTGCATTTTCTGCAAAGCTTGCACTTGAAATGGATATATTTAGAGCAGGAAGAATGAGATGGTGGGAAATAAGGAACTAAAAGTAACAAATATCTGAAAGCTTCAAATGTACATGGATGTTTGCAGAGGGTTACAGTCAGTAATGGTCAGTAAGAAAGTAAAAAAAAACAAGGAAGTGAAACTATGAAATGCATAGGTCAATAAAAAAGAAGGTATAAGTAATGTGGCTTGAGATGAGAATGGGATCCTATGCCAAATAGCAGTTCTTGTAGGACTTGCTATTTGTCATTAGGAACCCATTGCAATGGTATTAATAGCATAGGTTTTGTTGTGCAATTGTATTGCTATGTTGGCTATTCATGTTCCAAATTGTTCATGAAATAATAAACCTCTGATCTTCTAAGGGCTCCTCTCCTAACTTAAGAAAGTGAAAACTCTTGAAACAGAGTATTTCAAAGGAAACCTTTTATTAAGAAGAATGGCAGCCATTGAATTCAAAGCAACATCTGAATCCCCTTAGGCAATGCAAGTAGAATTAAAGCAGTAGAGACACCTCTACTATGGTGACATAAACTGATATATATACATAGAGAGAAACTAATTACTAGAATTGAATACCTGTATAACTGATACAATTGAGAGACAGCTATTTGTATAAAATAACTGTAATGGCTCCTCTCCTAACTTGAGAAAGTAAAGACTCTTGAAACGGATTATTTCAAAAGGAACCTTAATCAAGCAAGATGGAAATCATTAGAAGCAAAGCAGCATCTGAAAACCTTTAGACCATGCAAATGGGATTAAGCTGATAATGACCCCTCCCCTTTGTCCGAATGCAGATTCTGA